ATATACAAAATAAAATATAAACCTATCTCATACGAAACGATATGTCAGGCCCACCGGCCACCACCAATAACTAAATAGACTCCAACGAACAAAAGGGAGGAGTAGAATCAGAACTTAACTATGTAACTATATATACTTGCAAATATATATAATTAAGATTATGTGAGTTGCAATGTAACTCAATGACTAAACAATAGGATCAATAACAAGTGGAATATGTGACAGCATATAAAATAATATTTAATTTAAATAATAATTATGACTAATTTTCAATTGCTAAATCAATTTATATAGATAATATAAATTAGTATCTTATCAAAATAATATACTAATGAAACCAAGTAAACTTTCAATTCATAACAAATATTTTGACACTAATAACACTTTATCAAATAATATGTTGATTAAATCAAACGACAGAGCTATAAAGCAAATTGTCAAATCCAAATTATAAAGGATGCTATTAATATACCACTTACATATACGCATTTGTTGCAAATGCCCACTGAAAAATTTCGCATTTGTTGCTTAAGCCAGTTAAGCGAATTGATACATGGATGATAGTCAAGTACACAAAAGCGCGTGAGACAACAACTTTCAAACCCAAAACTCATTTTTGGTGTGCTTTGTTTAACAATTAATAGGTTAGAGATAAGTTAATGAGTTTGCACAAGAGGAAAAATGATTTTATCTTTAGATTCATTTAATAAGTTGTAAATATATGTAGATATGTTAATTATGCAATTAATTTTTTTTTAATTTTTGTATTAAATTATTTATTTTCTTTTCCTAGTATAATATTCTGCTTAAATTTGTTTGTAACTGGTGAGTCCTATTATATTGGGAATCAGTTTTTATAGTTTTGTTGTTGATGTCTAAAAAATTGCATTCGTTTGTAACACTTGTTAATTAGGGCATTCATGACTGCATTCATTTACAACACTGTTTTGTGCATTCAAGTGCATTGAAGCAAGTGACATCACAACCTTTTAAACAAAAACACAACTAATTAATTTATAGGGTGAGTCATTTAATAATTAACCAGATTAGAAAAATGTTATTGAATTTGATCGGGAGAAAATATTTCATATTAGATTTATTTAATTAGATGTAAAAATATTAATAATTCAATTAATTTAGAGTTTATATGGTTTTTCTTTTCCTAGAGCAACGTTATGTTTAAGTTTTTTTTTTTTTTTTTTGTAAATTATGTTTAAGTTTTTTGATTCGTATTGAGTTATATTATCCTCAATCAATTTAACAGTTTTGTTGTTGATGTTAATTAACTATTGACTCATATATCCCCAAACCCGCATTATATTATCATTTCTCTTTCTTGAACTCTTCTATTTTCTTTACTATATATATGTAATATTTTTTTTTTCTCAACACTTGTTATTGCATTCATATCCATGTAATGCAAGTGTACAGTGCCATGTCCTTCCAATGCAAACCCTAACAAATATGTTTTGATTGGACTCTATTTTTCAATGAACTTAAAAGTTAAAGACAATTGCCAATTGACTCATAATTCCTAAGCTCCACGCTGCCAATATTACTACTTTATGAGTTCTTTGTTGTGGTCCAAGCCCAAAATCAAGACACTAATGTGGGGTCTACACCCAAGAGACATGAAAAGGCCAAAATAATTGGCTGATTATGTGTTGGGCTAAAATATATATAGTGGGTCAATCATATTTTGGTTCATTTGAATGTTGCCATTATATTTGTGTTTGCAAAAAGTAACAGTTGTAATTAAACGCAGCCTTCGGCGGTGGTGATCCTCTTTAATAAGGGAATTATAAATGATAGTCATAAATGAATTAGTCTCTAGACTTTGAATGTTTTTCTCACAGGACATATATATAGATTTTTAAAAAAAATTTATGGAAGGAAGCTATTAATGAGTTTTAAGAGGTTACATTATAAATGGTAGTCATAAATGTATATATATTTTATTTTTATAAATTATTGTCATAAATGAATCGGTTTCTGAACTTTGACGGTTTTAAATTGTGGATATAAATATATATATTATTTTAAAATTATAAAGAAATAAGTTATTAATGAGGTTTTAAGAGCTTACATTTTAAGTCTTCGTTTGAAGTTTGAAATTTACTGTAATAAAAAATTGAATTTTTTACTATTATTTTAAATTTGAAGTAGATAACGTTGTATATTTTTAAATAAAAGGAACGCAATTTTATATATTTGTTGGTCTTTTACATTTTCTCATCACAAAATTAAGAGTGGAGATCGAAGGAGAGAGTATATTGCGGTGGAGAGAATGTAAAAAACGTCTCCATTGTCCTAAAAAAAAAAAAGAGTAGGTCAGCACTTAACGTTGTTGTTGTGGGTTCTATTTAAGGAGTAATATACCTTAATCTCCGAGAGAGTGTGTGTGATGTGTCTATAACGTTGCGTTAATTAGGTGGTGATGATCGTCTTTGGTTTTTTTTTTTTTTTTTGATAACAATCGTCTTTGGTTTTTATAGTTGACGTATGATACTGAAAGCAAAGAAATTTTTTGACACAACGATTGGTTTTGTTGCTGCGTGTACTTTGAATTATGAAAGTTTCTTAGTTTTTTTTTTCTTTAAAGAATTGTTAATTTTATTTTATTTTTTCAATTTCAGAGAAAAGCAGAAGGAGGTAATTGTCTTTCGTAGATCTTAAAAGTTTCTGTAGAGGAAGTTGACTGTCCAAGTTCAATCAAGCTAACAGAGAAAGACAATTATTTGGCATAATGTTGCAAAATTTGCATTGTATTGTTATTTCTTCAGTTTTCTTTTCTACCCTAGCACGTAATTTCGAATGCATTTGCTGATGTGCATGTAACCATCGACTCAAAAGCCTTAAAACTCGCATCATATCATTGTTTATTTACACTTTTTCATTACTGCACATATTTGAATCCGTTTTCTATATTTGTTAGTGCTTTCATAAGTGAGGTTATTTACAACACTTGTTTTGTGTGTTCAAGTGAACGAAAACATGTGACAACGAAACCTTCTAATTAAACCAGAACACAAGAAATCATTTATTATAGGGAAAAACATCTATCATTTTAAAGGATAGAAATTTATATCATTTTAGATCCTAACCGTTGATTTCCGTTCATCAACGGTTATAATCTATTGGGTCAAATTTAATGGGCCAAATTTATTATTAATTAATTAATAATTTTGATCCAATAAATTATAACCATTGATGCACGGAAATCAACGGTTATAATTTAAAATGATATAAGGTTATACCCTTTAAAATGACAGATGCTATTCTCTTTGTTATATGCATTGTTTAACAATTAATCTCGGTTATTCATTGAGTCTAAAATCACAAAATTTGCGTTGTATTGTTATCTCTCGAGTTCTCTTTTCTACCCGAGAACGTAATTGCAATACTTCTTAATGCATTTGCTGATGTGCAACCATCGACTCAAAAGCCTTAAAACATGCATCATGTCATTGTTACTTTACACTTTTTTCATTATTGCATGTAATTGAATCCGTTTTCTTTTTTTTGTTAGTGCTTTTGTATGTGCGGTTGTGTCTTAAAGTGAACGAAAACATGCGACAAGGCAACCTTCTAAACCAAAACACAAGAAATCATTTATTGTATGCATTGAGTCTAAAGTCGAAAAACTTGCATCGTGTACTGTTATTCTTGAGTTCTTCTCTTTTCTACCTGAGCACGTAATTGCATGTGTTATCAACACTTGTTAATGCATTTGCTGACATGTATAATCACCGACTCAAAAGCCTTAAAAATGGCATCATATCATTGTTTCTTTTACACTCTTTTATTACTGCACGTAATTGCATCCTTTTTCTATATTTATTAGTGCTTTCGTAAGTGCGGCTATTACAACACCCGTTTTGTATGTTGAGGTGAACGAAAACATGTGACAACGCAAACTACTAAATCAAAATGCGAGAAACTCATTTATTTCATGCATTGTTTAACGATTTATATTAGTTATTCATTGAGTCTAAAGTCGCAAAACTTGCACTGTATTGTTATTTCTTGAGTTTTTCTCTTTTTTTCTCGTGTACGTAATTGCATCCGTTATCAACACTTGTTAATACATTTATAACTGTACCAGTTTATATTGCTTATTTGGTGCATCTGAATGCATGAAAACATAAAATACCACAATGTTCTAAACTAGAAAGCAACAAACTCTTATGTGACATGTGTTTCGTTAAAAATAATTAGAGAGTTAGCCCTTAAAAAAAATTCCTTAGATTTTTTTAATATGGTGCAATTAAAAGTTAAGAAATTATCATCTATACAACGTAACTCCGAAATTCTATGCTGCCAAATATTATTTCACGATTTGTTTTGCTCTCCTATGCACGTTCCAGTATATTACTCATATTATCTTTCATATATATTTTTTTTAAAAATAACTTAATATTATAATTTTTTCACATAATCATGTTAATTAAAACATCTCCTTTGTTACACATATTTCCTTATATTATTCACCTTTTGTAGAGGGAGCATGAAATTAGTCACATCTCATGCAATACACGTGTCATCCTAATCTTTCCAAGAAAAGAAAAACAAAAAGGATTTCTCATAGCTACTGCAGATGAGAAATTTTACACTAAGTATCTTTATATCAGGATCTAGTATTTAAAAAAAAAGTCAAAATTGATATGTGTTCCTGCAAAATTTTTGATCTGCCGCAGAAATAAAAAGTATATTTGCCAATTAAATGATAGTTAATTGACCTCAATGAACTGAGAAGGTGGAATGAGAATATATATGTTTGATTTTGTTCGTATCATTTTTTGGAAGAATTTAAAACTATAATCTTGAAATAGATCCCAAATCAGACTAATCCTAAATTGATGAACTAATTAAAATATCTTTGCTAACATTTCTAAAAAAAATTTAAAATTTTAATTATGAAACACGTGACGATTAAAAAAAAAAAAGTATATTTGTCCAAAAAAAAAAGAAACCGGCAGCAAAACTCAGTGAGCGCTCAGTTTAAAAGGAGGAAAGAACAGAGATGAATAAGCACGATAAACAGAAGCGAAGCGATGTCGAATTTGCCTCAATCTCTCTCTATGAACGCGGCTTTTGGTGGTGGCGCTCCTCCTCCTCCTCCTGGTGGCTCCGCCCAGGGCTCCTCCGCCACCAAGGATCGCAAGATGGCCTCTGCGGAGCAGCTTGTCCTCGAGCTCAGCAACCCTGAACTCCGTGAAAACGCTCTTCTCGAGCTCTCTAAGGTAACCCTAACCTAACCTTTTGCTTTTCCTCTTTATTGTTTCAGTTTTTTTTTTCTCCCTCTGATTTTGTGATATCTAGTGTGAATTGTTGTCATATAGAATTGGATATTAGAATTCTGCGAAATTGGATGATAATGGAAATTATAATTTCCGTTTGTTTTTTATTTTTCTATTTTTTTATTGCGTGGTTAGGGTTTTTGTGTGTGTGTGTATGGATGGAAATGGATTGAAACTTTGTTCTGGTTTTCCTATGTTAATCGTTGAGATATGATATTGATAGCATGTTTCTTGTTATGGGGTTGGTATAGTGTCAGAACAGTTAACAACTTGTCTCATTGCTGAGTCTCGTGCTTATTGAAGCTTTGTCTTTCTTTTTGTTTTCGTTTTCTTTTTGAGAGAAAAGTTGAAAGAGGCAAGAAAAATTTTACACGTGGTTGATTGGTGTGAGTGAGAATTGGTTTCAATGTTTTGGCCTGAGAATTATTAGTTACTTTTGTTAAATTCAGCGACATGTAATTCGCTCCTTACCCCATTGTCCTCCTCCCTACTAATTCTATGCGCCAAATTGCAGTACCTTGTTATCTAGAGTTTGATCTGGACTGCCAAAATTGGCAAACCTACTTCGTAAAGAAAATTGGATGAGTGAAAATGATTGGAAATGGCAGGGGATGTAAAAACCAGATTGAGGAATGGGTCCCATCGCCAGCCTGGTCACACCACCAAAACTGAGAGTTGAAAATCCGGTCAACATGTTCAAACTGGTTTTTGATTTCAGGGTTGAACCTCTTCTGATGTTCTGCAATTCTCAGCCTCTTCTCCTTAACAATGTACTCCATTGTGGTTCTCAGCCTACAATAAAAAAACTGTTGGGTTGGAAGCTATGAAGCACCGACACTTCAAAATCCCTGACGTGTCGTGTCCGACACTTCCCGACACTCCAATACTCGTTGCAAAGACTCAAAAAAAGTTCAAAGGTTACGTTGCGTTGCATTTTGAGTTCTAACTATTAGATTTATTGGATTACGATTACTATTTTATCGAGTTTAATATAAACATTTAGGATATCTTATGTTTCTTTGCAAAATTGATGGGTATTATAAGTTTAACTTTATTTTTTTGTTAAATTATTGAATATTAAATATAATATACACTACATAAATTAAAAATATTATATAATATCAAAACGTGTCCTAACGTGTCGAAATTTAACATTTTTTATAATTAACGTGTCGGAGTGTCTTGTCGTGTCGTATCCCATGTCCCGTGTCGGTGTCGGTGCAATATAGGTTGGAAGAACAGGGAGTGATTATAATACCTGGAGCAAAGTGAGCTCGAAAACAAAGGTAGAAACTGGCAACAAATGCCATGATCTGAGCCAGAGGCAGGCTGGAAGTGGGGGACGAATTTGTAGCTTTAGTGTTGTTACCTTGAAAGGAAACTGTCAAAAAGACAAAAACAAATCAGTAGTAGGAACATTTTGGGAATGAGTTGTGGCAGAGAAAAAAGTATGCCATTTATAGTTTTGAGCTACTTTTTTAGCATCTATAAATGAAACTGTGAGGAAATATGACAGCATTTCACAATAGGGTTTTTTTTTTTGGGTGGAAGATTGAAGGTGCAAAGCACCGGGGTAGGAGAGGATGATTGGGGCCCATCACAACCCAATCTTAAAGATTGGGGCTGGTGCCAATTGAGCTTCCAGCTCTTGGTGTTCTACAATAGGTATTGGATAGAGTAAGCTCACAGAGACCAAATAGAATGGTTAATAGGTAAAGTACACTTGGAAATCATTATTGCTTTACATCATATATAGAAGAACAGAGTGGAATAATTATTATTTATTCATGTCGATTCAATAATTTATTTTTAGATTCACTCTAAAAGTAAATGGAATATTAATCATATTACCGAATTTGCCCCTTCTTATCCCATTGTCCCGCTGCTTACTAATTTGCGGGTGCCAGATTGCGGTACTTTGTTATCTGGAATCTGGATTGCCAAAGTTGGCAAACATACTTCTTAATGAAAATTGGGGAAAGTCAGTGACTGAAAATGACTGGTTTTTAAAAACCAGACTGAGAAGCGGGTCCTATAGGCAGCTTAGTTCCACCACCAAAACTGAAAGTGAAATATCCGGTTAACATGTTCTAACCTGATATGGATTCCAGTGTTGAACCATTTCAGATTTTCTGCCTTTCTCAGCCTCTCCTCCTTCACAACGTGCTCCATCCTGCTTCTCTGCCATCAATCAAAAAACTATCAGGTTGGAAGAACAGGGGCTGTATTACCTGAGCAAAGTGAGCTTGACAACAAAGAAAGAAACTGGTAGTAAGTGTGATGATCTTAGAAGAGGCAGGCTGGGAGTGGGGGACAAATTAGTAGCTTGAGTGTTGTTACCTTGAAACGAAGCTATCAAAAAGACAAAAACAAATCAGTACTAGGGGATATATTGGGAATGAGTTGTGACAGAGAAAGAAGACATGCAACTTATAGCTTTGTGCTACTTATTCATCACTCTATAAAAGAAAATATGGGGGAAAGATGAAAGCATTGTAAAATAGGTTTTTATTTTTTGTGTACGTGTATGTGGAACATTGGAGGTGCGAAGCACCTGGGTAGGGGAGGGGGATTGTGGCATGGTGGAGTTTTGAACCTCTGACATCACCATCACAACATGATCTTAAAGATTGGGCCTGGTGCCATTTGAGCTTCAGGTTCTTGTAGTTCTATGAGAGGAATTGGGTAGAGTTAGCTCGCGGAGAAAAAATAGAATGGTTAACTGAAGTGTTATTTAGTAAGATCTCACTTATTAAAAACTAAAGTTTTAAAAAGTGAATATCATTAAAGTAATATTGCAAGGAGTTCTCTAACCATTAAAATTTAATTAAATAATTTTTTGTTTGATCAAACGATATATAAGATTATGTCGTATCTTGTGTTATATTTTTTTCTGGATTAAAGGTGTTTAGTGTAACAATTATGGAGTTTACTTCGGTATTTATGATTATCACATTACCTTAAAATTATAGACTGAATTAATTGAAGTTACGTACTGATTTATCAAAGTTTGTAAATTTTATAAGTATGTAATATTTATTACTTGATTTGTAATGTTTAACATATAAACTGTAATTTCAAAAAATAAACTACTACAAAATCATTCACTCAAGAGTATCAAAATTGGTCTCATCCGATTCAGTTGCATTCAAGGCACTTGTCACCAAGTCATTTACCAAAAAGAGGGCAGAGGTGAGGTGGGGGGCAACAAAACTCTTCTTACTAATAGAGCTGGGTGCGTTTCGTGCAGAAACGAAACCCAATCGATTCTTGTAAGTTTCAAATGTCAAATTTTCCCCAATTCAACAATGACGCTCCTCCTTCCCCTCCTCTGTCTCCTCCTCCCCCTCCTTTTCCTCCTCCATCACCTCCCCCTCTTCCTTTGTCTCCTCCCCCCAGTCCCACCGCCACCTCTCAGGCAACCGATGATCTCAGCATGACCTCTGTAGAGAAACTCATCCTCGAAATCACCAACCCTGACCTATGCGAAAGCGCTCTTCTCGAGCTCTCCAAGGTAACCCCTAACCTAACTCTTTCCCTTTCCTCTTCATCCTTTCATTTCCCTCCCCCTGGTTTTGTGATATCTCATGTGAATTATTTTGATCAAGAATCCCATATTAGAGTTTTGAGAAATTGGATGGCAAAGGAATTTGAAATCTCTCCTCTGTTTTTTTTTTTGATTGGGAATTTAGGGTTTTTTTCTTTTTTGTGTGTGCGTGAATATGGATTGAAACTTTGATCTTGTTTTCATATGTCAATTAATAGTTGAGATATGATATTGATAGCCTTTTTCTTGTTATAGGGTTCACTATAGTGTCTGAAGAATTACATAGCTGTCGTTTTATTGCTACATCTCATGCTTATCGAGGCTCTGTTTCCTTTTGTTGTTGTTGTTAGTTTTTTTTTTTTTTTTTTTTTAATTTGCACCGAGGGAAAAGTCGAATGAGGCAAGACCCTTTTTACATGTGCATGTGCTTGACTGGTGTGTGTGAGAATTGGTTTAATGGCTTTGGCCTGTGTATTATTACTTCCTTTTGTTAACTTAAGTGACGTGGGAGATATAATTATCATTTAGTGATTCTGATTCACTTATTTATTTTTAGATTCAGTCTAAAAGTAAATAGATTTTCAAGCATATTTACCAAATTCGCTCCTTCTTATCCCGTTGTCTTCCTGCATTCTGGTACTTTGTTATCTGGAACATGTTCTGAATTTTCAAATGGCAAACCTACTTCTTAAAAGAAATGATCGAAAATGACTGGTGTTGTAAAAACCAGACTGAGGAATGGGTCCTATAGCCAGCACGGTCACACCTACAAAACCGAAAGTGGAAAACCTGGTCAACCTATTCAAACCGGATTTGGATTTCAGGGTTGAACTACTTCTGATTTTCTGCTGTTCTCAGCCTCTTCTCCTTTACAATGTGCTCCTTCCTGCTTCTTATCCTTCAATCAAGAAACATTTGGGTTGTAAGAACAGGGAGTGATTATATTACCAGGAGCAAAGTGAGCTTGGAAACAAAGAGAGAAACTGGCAGCAAGTGCATTGATCTGACCAGAGGCTGGATGCGAGTGGGGTGAGCTTGATAACAAAGAGAGAAACTGCTACCATTCTGATTTGTCTTTTAGTGACTGTTGCTATTAAATTCTTGAAGATTTTCTTTGTGCTGCATACATGCTGTTATCTGACTTTAGCTTTTTATTATTGCTATTATATCTAGAATTCACTTGTTTTCTCTTTTAACTGTTTTGTATTTCTACTGCCCTCATACATGTATCTCATCCATTTATTTTTTCATGTTTTCTGTATTTTAGAAGAGAGAGCTATTTCAAGATCTTGCTCCATTGTTATGGAATTCTTTTGGTACTATTGCTGCACTTTTGCAGGTATGCTATGTGATTTGCATTACCTATGCCTTGTGTGCGTTGTTTAGCTTACTTTGCTTTAATCTTTCTTGTGAATTTTTACTTCATTAGCTCGTAATATTTTTGAGGTTATACATTTCTCTCTTCTCATTGTTCTTTTATTACCTATTACTCCGTTTTGGTCTGTTATATATTTTGTTCAGTTGATGTTTTACTTGCTTCCAACTTTTTTCCTTGGTAAAACCAAACTTTTGTTTTCATATTTTGTCAAAACTGATGGGATGATGATGGAACGATAAAAGTAAATGGTGATGGTGTGATTTAACTTGTTTAGAATTGTAACTACGCCACTATTGTTTTTGACAGTTAAAATGTTATATTTTCAGCATACTCCAAACATTGCACTTTCAGTTTCTCGTCATTTAGTTTTAATTTTATATTTCATATGCATCAATATCATCAAACAAACATAACTCATTTCTTTCTTTAAGCGGATGATTTTTTTTCCACTAACAAGGTTTTTCTTATTTGTCCCCCATTAACTAAAATTTGATATTTTATTTTCTTTCAGGAAATAGTTTCAATATACCCTGTTCTTTCACCACCAAATCTTACTCCAGCACAATCAAATCGAGTGTGTAATGCACTTGCTCTTCTTCAGGTCAGATGAGCTTGTCCTATCAAGTTGTGTTCTATATTTTACTAAGACAATCATTTCATTTTGTTGGTGAATAACTTGATTATAAATTTATACGATATTCTAAATCACCACCCTATGCAATTTGGACTTTTAATTCGTTATATTTTAATAAATACTATATTTTCATAGGCATAACCCACAATAAAAGTATACATACCGAAGATGTTAGAATATCCTTTTTAACTGCATTATGTTTCTAGCACACTAGATTCTGGTACTTAAATAATCTGTACTGTGGTGGACCAAAAGCAGTGCACCATTGCAGGACAAGAATTATATATATATATATATATATATATATGTATGTATATATTACTAAAACTTCTCTAATTAAATGTCAACTTTCAAAATATGCATCTGCCAACTACCTTCATGCCAACCAAAATCAAAAGGAGAGAACAGCAAGCATAACTCATGAACAGTTGAAGGATACTATCCATATGCCTATGTTTTCATGATGTGATTTGCTTATGGACTGTAACAGGATATATTGCAAGTCAGGTGACTTTGTTCTGACCATTCCACCACCTACTTTTGCAAGATAGGACAAAAGAAAAGAAGACACTAATGTGCAGTGTTTTTTTTTTTAGTGTCATACCTCTGAATCTAATTGCTTAGGAACAAGCTAGCCGTAAATATCATACTTTCTGTGTGGTCTTTTTGTTTCCTTTTCTTCTTTTGAGACATACCAGAAAGAAAATGAAAAAAAAAGTTGTTATTAAGTTTTTTTCTTCTCATGCTTTTTTTTTTTCCCCAGTGTGTAGCATCTCACCCTGATACAAGGATGCTATTCCTCAATGGTAATGTCACTTTCCTCAGTCATCTGAAGGACTTTGAACTTCTGTCTGATTTTGTACTTATCATCTTTGCATTATATATTCTGATAGTTGTAGAACTAGCCTTAGAGCAAATGTTAAGGTTGCTACTCTTTGACCAAAACTCTAATACATGAAATAGTCTCTTTGCAAAGATGCAAGGACAAGACTACATACAATCGTAAATTCACTGAGCCTTCGTATAGTGAAATTTGCCATTTTTTGTAGTGGTTGAAGTAGTCTGTTCTTAAAATAAACATTTTCTATTTGCTTAAGTGCTTTGGGAGGATGCTGTCAGTTTCTTTTGATTTGGTTGGTGCCACCTGTGTAATACGATGAATTGGAAAGAGTAGTCTGGAAACTGTAGGATGAAGATGGGTATAGTCAGGATATAATATGATGGCACCAATCAATTTAACGGCAAATTACCAACAAGCAACAGTAAAAGACACTTCAATTCTCTCAATACTACGTTGGAGATAACTCCTATTACAATATCACCAGTAACAACATAAAAACAGAGTTTCATCAGCCATACAGACTCTACTACTAGATAGCTACGATTGAAGATATCAATGCAGGGAAATTACAACTATGACAGTAATAAAATGACTCAACAGCAACATTAGTTCCCACTAACAACTATTATACGATGACTCTCCCTGATTATCCGTCTTACTCATACTAGAACCCATACCTAGCTTCTGAGCACCACGCTCAGTTGCCAACCAATTCCACAACCAATTCCACAGCTTGAATATATTCCCCCCTTACACGTTCTCTTTCCTTTCCTTATATCACCTTAGCCCCATCCGAATATTCTTCACACACACTCCCCATTTCGCCTTCACCATTTATTGCTTGCCACGTGGCCTCACTAATAACAAACTTCCCTTCCTCATTTGCTTTCACTATCAGATGGTTATTCTTCATCCTTTGGGCCTTCCTTTTCCTCACATAAGTTCTTTCAAATGGTTGTAAGCGCTACCCCCTCCATCAAGAACCACCTTATCCTCAAGGGGAAAATCGAGGAATTAGTCTTGGAAATCAACCAAATCCTCCCTTGTGCAATCACAATGAGCAAGTACCTGCCATTGCACTAACAACTAAACTCTTCCATTAAGCAACTTCCTGGTTTTCAAGATGGCAGCAGGCTGGACTTGTAACTCCAACGTATCCGCCAAGAAACGAGGCAGATTTAATACTGGGGTCGACACAGGAATTCCTGGTTTGAATTGAGAAACATGAAAAACGGGGTGGACTTTTGAATATGAGGGGAGTTCTTGATGATACGCCATTGGTCCGATTCACTCAGTAATAAGAAAGGGACCATAAATCTTGGGCTCAATTTTTGATTCAACCTCTGTGCCAAAGAACGCAACTTGTATGGTTGTATCCTTAGGAAAATCAATTGTCCCACCTCATATTCAATTTCCCTCCTACCCTTTTCAGCTTAGACCTTCATTCTGAGTTGTGCCCTGCACAAATGTTGCTTGAGATCAGCTACAATAACATCACGGGCAGCCATCCATTGATCAACTACAGCAACAAGGGAACTGCTACTAGAACTGAAGTTATTAAAGCACAACAGGGTAGGTGGGTCTCGGCCATAAACAGCCTTGAAAGGTGTCATATTAATAGACCTATTGTGAGGAGTTGAACCAAAACTTGGCCCAAGGCAGCCATTTTGCCTAGCCTTTGGGATGTCCATTAATAAAACACTGTAAATAAGTTTCTAAGGTTCTATTTACAATCTCGGTTTTTTCGTCAGATTACAGGTGATAAGCGAAGCTAAATTTCAGTGTCGTGCTCGCTAATTGGAATAATTCTCCCCAAAATTTGCTAACGAAGACTCGATATCTATCAGATACAATACTTCTTGGAAATCCATGCAACCTGACCACTTCCTGCACAAAAACAACAGCCACATCCTAGGCATCAAAGGGGTGTTTCAGTGTCATAAAATGCGCATATTTAGTTAACCTATCAACCACCACCAATATTGTATACAGTCCATTTGACTTGGGCAAACCACTAATAAAATCTATGGAGAGATCCTCCCATACCATCTTCGGCACCGGTAAAGGCTGAAGTAACCCTACAGGCAGCAAATGGTCATACTTTTGCTGTTGACAGACAGCACACTGTCATACGAAAGTAATTACATCCTTCCTCATTCCCCTCCAAAATGACACAGCAGCTATTCTCTTGAATGTACGCAATTCTCCCGAATGACCACCCCATGGAGAGGCATGAGATTCCTCCAAAATCTTAGGAATATGGGCTGATGTCCTAGGAATGACCAAACGATTTTTGTACCACAAACAACCTTTCATCACCTAGTAACCTGGATGTGAACCCCCATCTAACAGCACCTCTATCATAATTTTGTGAGTCACAGGATCCTTCAATACTTCCTCTGATATCGCTTAAAGGTTTGGACGAAAGACTAGGGTCAGTTCCTTACAATCCATAATCCTTGAAAGAGCATCAGTCACCTTATTTTCATTACTAGGTTTAAACAAATTTCAAAATCAAATGTCAGCAACTTTGCAACCCATTTTTGCTATCCTTTAGCCATTAAACGTTGTTCAGTTAAGTACTATAAGCTATGTTGATCAATTTGAATCACAAGTGGCGTCCCATGTGATAGTGGCGCCATTTATGGACTGCAAACACGATAGCCTTCAATTCTCTTTGCTAGACAGACAACATCTTTGCTGTTTATGAGAATGCCTTACTCAGGAATGCAATTGGGCACCCATGCTCCATAGTACTTAATTTGACTTAAGGAGGCTTGAAAACATCTTTTCTAAAACTTTCACCCTCATTCTAATCTGATTATAATTTGACTGAAGGTCCAGTTTAGAGAAATACCAACCCCATGCAATTCATCAAGAAGTTCATCTATAACAGGTAGAGGGAACTTATCTGGTATGGTGACCTTATTGAGAGCTCGGTAATCTACACAGAACCTCCGGCTTCCATCTATCTTTTTTACCAAAATAAGCGGACTGGAGTAGGGACTGCGACTTGGTCTGATCATGCTGGCCAATAACATTTCCTTTACAAATTTTTCTTTCTCTGCCTTTTGGTAATAAAGGTATCTGTAGGGTCTAATGATTGGTATTGCTTCTCCTTCCTACAAAATGATTTTGTGATCACGAGAGCGTTGGGGAGGAAGATTTGAAGGAGGCTTGAAAACATCTTCATATTGTTGTATAAGCTCAGATACCGGAGATTCCATACGTGACACACCATCCTCAACCGAACATAAGTTCAATTAACATAGGATTTTTCGATTCTCATATTCCAAATTTTGTTCAGCCCCTTTGATGATACATTGCTACAGGACAAGGTTGGATCACCTGAATGCTCACCAATTTCCCTTGCCACGACACCTTGAGTAACAGCTCCCTGGATTTTGCTTGGATTTCTCCTAACCCCTCCAACCAATCAAACTCCAACACTATATCCACATCCCCCAAGTTGAAAACAAAGAAATTTTGTTGGATGGTGATATGTGGTAATTCCAATGTCACCTGTTTACATCCACCTGGGCTTCTGAATTGGTTTTCGTCACCCACTTCCACCATGAATTGCCTGCTGTCATCCATCGGTAGCTCCAAAGCCTTCACCACTCCGTCAACAATGAAGTTGTGCGAAGCCCCTGTGTCGATGAGGACCACCAATTTCTGACCACGTACCCTCCCCCTCGACTTCAACGATTGATTAGAAGTGAACCCGACGACGCTATGAACGCTTAATTGCAGGTTGTTGTCCATCCTTGTTCCGCTTGTCTCGAACGCCACTTCTTCTTCTTCGTGAATCTCCGTACATCCTTCCCCCAAGATCATCACGCTCAAGTGACGGTTTTGACAAACATGACTAGGAGAGAATGGGGCATCATATCTGAAACATAAATTTCGTCGTTACTTCTCATCCATCTCCGCTTGGGTCAGCCTGTGATAGTTCGACCATCGAGAATTTTGGCCACCTCCGACGGACGATGCGCTCCCCACATTTGTCGATGCGCCTCCCTCTTGTATGCCCCCATTTTGTGGGTTAGGGCTGACTCCCCACAGTTGGGGTTCCCCCTTGATTTCCCTGAGTTGGATTATTAAATTGAGCCGCTGGTGTGATCACAGGATTATTGTGAGGCCCATTTCAAGTCCCTCCCCCAATTTGGCCCAGTACGATTAGTGAGTGTAGCAAACCCATTATTCGCTCCAAACCTAGTTCCGTTTCGGCCCAAATTGAAGCTTCCCCTACCAAGCACTGCTTTCCTTTCCTCCACGCGCTGAGCTAATAGCATCATCCGCCCCAAATTGTTGGGAAAATGTAAACGGATTTCAGCCCTGATTTCTTCCTTCAAACCCGCCAAAAATGCCACCTGCATGCATCATTCCTTCATCAAAGTGCCTTAATGGAGTAGACAACACTTCGAAATGCTCCTTGTATTCCGCCACTGTTCCCATCTGACACAACCCCATGAGCGCTTCATACGGATTACTGAAAGAAGAAATGTGAAATCGTTGCAGAAGCGCCAACTGGAAAATTTCCCAGTCAATCAATGGGTTCCTTGGCTCCCCCCATTGGAACCAGCTCAATGCCTTCCTCTCCAAACAAATTGATGCAGTCTCCACCTGTTCTTCAACGGGAATTCTATTGACTCGAAAATAACATTCTGCTCTGAAAATCCAGCCACAGGGATCTTCTCCGGTAAAATAAGGAACCTCCATCCTCTTCATCCTTTCCTCATCTTTGGCGTTTGGTGGATTCCGATGGCCTCCTTTTTTATTATTCCCCATTCTTCTCCTAGCTTCAACCTCTTCCTCGCGATGCTCAATTCTCGTCAATATTCCCATTATCGTCTCCTGAAATTGCTGGAAACGTTCTTCTATTCCTACCATTCTCGCCTCCATACGTCTCTCTGCTTCTTCAACCCTGTTCTTCATTCGTGTATGTACCATAAATCGGTGCTCCAAGGATGTGAAGCTTTGATACCAAATTGATGGTACCAATCAATTTAACAGCAAATTAACAGCAAGCAACAAGAAAAGACACTTCAATTCTCTCAATACTACGTTGGAGATAACTCCTTTTACAATATCACCAGTAACAACATATAAACAGAGTTTCATCAGCCATACAGACTCTACTACTGGACAGCTACGATAGAAGATATCAATGCAGGGAAATTACAACTATGACAGTAATAAAATGACTCAACAGCAACACAAGTCCCCAATAACTACTATTATACGATGACTCTCCCTGATTATCTGTCTTACTCATACTAGATCCCCATACCTAGCTTCTGAGCACCATGCTCAGTTGCCAACCAATTCCACAGCATGAATATATTCCCCCCTTACACGTTCTCCTTCCTTTCCTTATATCACCTTGGCCCCATCCGAATATTCTTCGCACACACTCTCCATTTCGCCTTCACCATTCATTGCTTGCCACGTGGCCTCACGAATAACAAACTTCCCTTCCTCATTTGCTTTCACTATTAGTTGGTTATTCTCCATCCTTTGGGCCTTCCTTTTCCTCACATAAGTTCTTTCATGGTCTGCATATGAACTCAGGTTTTAAGGGAGCTGGATTGAATTGTCAATATGTTTTATTTTTATCTGGGTTAACATGAATTGTCAATATTATTGCCTTTTAATTTGATCTTTCTTTATGATTAGCTTATTGCATAAACTAATGGATAAAATCTGCTTTTGCAAAATGAATTCCTACTGCCCGAATTTTCCACTTTGTACTATAATGCATATGTTGTAATCCCTGTCTTATTCATGTTTGATGATTGCTTTAGCATAGTCTAAATATTGATATAAGAATGTTGAACTTTTGTTTTGGAGGATATCTTGGCTAGAATGGTATATGATGGGCTGCTGAATTTGAGTAAAATGAGACTTGCGAATAAATTTTAAATGCAACTGGCACACCCTTGCTGTTGCCTTTCCCATCTTAGGACATCCTGTGTTGCTTGAAAATGGAGTTCCGTTTTCCCACTATTTACAGCTCATCAGATCTGATTTTTCTTTTTTCTCTCTTTTTTGAAAGATCTGATTTCATATTTAAGTAGTCATATCTTTCCTTTTTGCCGCTAGAATTTTTATTTCCAATATCTATCCTCTATTAAGCATCTGAAGCCAGCGATTTTTTGTTATTTAATATTAGGGGATTAATCTGCTCTTGTTTTATATGGGTTCATTGACTGCGAACTCCAACCATTTTTGGATAAAAATGATGTTGATGTTAATGTCGAGTTATGGTTGTTAGTACATGGAAGTGTTTGATAATCTTATAATAAATTGTTAAACTTGCTTTTTCTATTCTGCAGCTCATATACCTCTATATCTGTATCCGTTCCTCAATACCACAAGCAAGTCAAGACCATTTGAGTACTTGAGGCTTACCAGTCTTGGTGTCATTGGTGCCTTGGTGAAGGTACTTCTTCCTTGCTGATTCTTTTGTTGGATGCAAATAACTACTAGAAAAAACATATCATTTGGCAATATTTGTGCTGCAAAAATTATATTTTTAATCACTAAAAGTATTGTAAAAAAAAAAGACAAAAATATTTATCACGGAAATCCTTGGCACAAAAAGCTGTATATAATGGAATGGGGACGGGACATACAAATCCAACTTTGGATTAGCTGAACAAAGTAGTGTCCCTGACTATTTATGTTACACTATAATCGGTAATTAAGAAAGGGCATCCGGGTGCTATAAAGCTACAGCTATGCATAGGGTTGAGCAAAGGGTCAGACCCATTGTGTGGGTTTATAGTAGACAGTATTATTTTGCATTTGCAAGAGGCTGATGACATGAGTCGAACCTGTGACCTTTAGGTCACATGGCAACAACACCAACTGTTTTGCCAAGGTTCCCCTTCAATTATTGGTAATTTTTTTTTTTGTCATCTATGTTTCATCTATGCTCGGGTTTTGTCGATTGTAACAGTTTTCTCATGCTGATTTTTATGCACTAGGTTGATGATACGGAAGTCATAAGTTTCCTTCTTTCAACAGAGATAATTCCTCTGTGCCTACGCACCATGGAAATGGGCAGTGAATTGTCAAAAACAGTTGAGTTTCCTGATTCTTGGGTAAACTTATACCACCACAGTATTTGTATGGTGAATTGGACTTAGTTTAGTTGCCATTTCCTTCATATTTCTTTGCTGCTGGTCTATGTTTGATTCTCATGTATCCATGTGAAGCTATCTTGCTCGTTTCAATACAGTGCTACTGCTAGGCATGCTTATGATTTATCTGCTAATGCATTCTTACCTTGATTAATGAGACAACATAAGATACATTGATATTAACCCCTACTTGAGGAGACTGCTTCAGAGATTATTGTTTTGCTTTTTGAATAGCTTAATAGCTTGTCATATTTTACGATTTTAGCTATGGTCATGAAGCTGTTTGAACTTTTCCCAGCATATTTAGTATAATCATGTAATTTTAGCACTGGCTTTTGTATGGGTTCAAATACAGTTCTTGACCTTTAAGCTAATTTTCTCTTTGACATAGTTCACACTTCACAGTTGTGTGATGAATGTGAACTATATAAACTCTCTGATCTTCTTTGTTCTGTAGACGCAAAGCTACTTGATACTTTTTAAGTTTCTATGCTTACTTGATCCCGTATGTAATACCGAATAATAGTAAAAGGGAGCATGGTTGTCTAATGAAAGTTCTAACACCGCAGGTCGCCACATTTATAGTTCAAAAAATTCTCTTAGATGATGTTGGCTTGGATTACATATGTACCACAGCAGAGCGTTTTTTTGCAGTAGGTCGAGTTTTAGCGAGCATGGTGGGAGCTCTGGCTGAGCAACCCTCATCTCGTCTGCTGAAGCATATTATCCGATGCTATCTTCGCTTATCTGATAACCCGAGGTTGGTTAGTAGTATGCAACTCTATGTTGTTGCTTTCTTCTCCTCGTCTCCTTCCACCTAATTTGCCTCTTGTCGTGCCCTTTCCTTTCTTCTCTATTTTCAAATTTCATCTCTAGTTAAACTTTGTTTGGTTAAAACAGGGCATGTGATGCACTTAGAAGCTGTCTTCCGGAGATGTTAAGAGATGCTACTTTCAGCAGTTGTCTTCGTGTAAGTGCTTGTGATATTAATAGCATACAAATTTGGTTTAATCAGTATGGTGGAGTAGCTAGATTTTAGAAATCATAGGTTGAAGAGAATGGTAGTAACTGAAGAAGTTCGTCATGTTCTCCAAATCTTCAATTTCAGAGCTAGAGATTTTCCATTCGCTAGAGAATGGTAGTAACTATAAAAAGATTATTCATGCTTTAGTTTGTTTACATAATGTTGTCTTGGTTTTTTTTATTCAGGAAGACCCCACAACTAGGAGGTGGCTACAACAATTGCTTCACAATGTTGGAGGGAATCGGGTTCCTGCACTACAAGCTGGAGGAGGTTTTGATCATATGATGTGACCTGGGATCTTGCCTCGTTGTGGGACTTGCTATCATCCCTTCTGGTCCCGTTTATATCTTTATTTCGTGAAACTTCAACTTGGTTGTTCAGAGAGAGATAATGGTTATAATTCTTGGTACATTGAAACTTTAAAGACATTTTCCTATATTCTAATAAGTATCCAATTCGGTAGTACATTTTACTCCTTTTCCGTTCAAGCTTATACATATTAAGGTGGTTTTTACTATGTTAGGAGAGAGTCTCCTATTGTGACAAAAACTCAAGAATGAGCAAGAAATTGAACTGATATTATTTCTGATATCCTTCTCAAAGTGAAGTACAAACTCTTTATAGGAACCTTTGGCTATTACTACAAGAGAACTAGCTACTTATTCTTATTACCTAACTAATTCAGTTATGTTCTGGATGAACATTAATGAATATTCTGTATTTGTTATTTGCCTGCATAAGGAACCCTCCACACACACACACACACACACATATATATATATATATATATATATATATATATATATATATATATATATAGCCTAAGCCAAGCGGTTATGATAGACGTGGGTAGTTATGGTGATCGTGGGTGGTTATAGATAAACTCATTTTAAAATCATGGTAGGGCCCAAATGGTACTAATACGTGGACTTCATACCCGGTACATTAAATAATCCGGGCTCGTTACTTCTGTAAAAAGGCCGAGGTAAAATACCTGAGAGATACGAGCCAGGAACCCGGAACAAGTTACAATATTTTAGCACTGTTCTTCAACTGCTGTCATTGCAAATTACCATCATTCTCCAATCATCCTTAACCGTAACACACTCCTTAATGAATGCTCTAGTCTTTGACAAGGAGTAGGTACACTGATCAAATAATTCGTTCGAATTAAAGTCATAGTTGAGAAGTGGCTTTTAATTTTGAAGGGCTCTTCTAACACTATCCTTATGCTCTACTGTAATAGAAGTTTTTTCTTTAAAAAGAAAAAGAAAAAAGAAAAAATCTGAGTAAAAGAAGTATTTTAATTTTGGGTTTACTCTTTCTTATGTTATTTGATTACAATTATTTATTTTCACTCATTGATGATGAGATAGGTGAGAAAAAAATGTATAATTTTTAAACGAGTGTTTATGATTAAATAACATGATCATTTTTTCACATGAGGGGATTCAAATTCATTCTCCTTGAATTTGGATCCTCTCATGTGAAAAAGTGATCATGTGATCATGTTATTTGATCACAACTACTTATTTTCATTCATTGATGATGAGATAAGAGAGAGAAAAATGTATACTTTTAAATAAGTGATTGTGATCAAATAACATGATCATATAATCACTTTCTCACACACTTTTATATATGTATAGAAAATAACTTTATCTCCTACAACATAAAATACATTAAATCGTTTAATGTTTACATTATAGAATTCCATTTACCAGTTGCTGCCTTAATATTATTAGAAGCTGTTTGGCTATAAAGACCTAAATAACACAGGCCTCCCACCAAGGGACACGAGATATTAACGCAAGCATACGTGGGAATCCGTGTCCTCTTTTGGTGGGAATTTTTTGTGAACTTGGTAGTATTCTTCCGGGATGTTTCTTTTAAGCAACTTATTCCCCATGGGGAGGAAAACTAAACTTTTAAAAGTACAATAGAAGATATTCTTATTTGGCAACAAAAAAATTAGTCCAACTTGAATTTTGTTTTAAAAATTTGCAACTGGTTGGATATACGCTAGAAATGGTTTTCATCCGAAACGTTCGGCTCAGTCACAATTTTACTCGTTAAACGAATTGAATTATGATCTTAAGGTTTTGCTAATTCAATTTCTAATTTAACTCGTGTTTGGTTTAGGTTAAATCAGGAAACAATTCATTATTTTTTATTTCTTGAAATTTATTAAAAAAAATATTATTAAAAAAAAGTTTAACCTTCAGTATTTTAAATATGGAATTTGCATTCATCATTTAACCTGATCACAAAATTTTTTCTATACACACAACATTTTGTGGGACCCGCATGTTTTAAAGAAAAAAAACTACGACATGCAAAATGAATCTCTATAACATAACACAATCACTTTTCCTACCCTATAACTTTTATATAACCCTTTAAATATTGATGTTAAAGTCTTATGATTGGGTTATTTTTCTATTTAATGTTTTTTATTTAAAAAGGTATTTTTGTGCTTTTGATTTTTTCTTATTTTTTGTAGATAATTGAAGATAACCCCATTGAACCTCTTCATCAGAGGAATGGTGACATTAATCCCCTTCGAGAGGGAGGCGGTTTCTCTCTCGCCCCCATAGAATTCCAACTGAGGCGGTTTCTCTCTGAACCCCTTCGATATTTAAATGCCAGGTGAGCTTCCCTTGAGGATTTACTCATGATTTATTTATACATGATTTTTTACTACCGAATAGACACAATTCATCATTATCGATCATGGTTTATAAATAAGAAAGGAAATCAAAATAAATTTAGACTTTTCTAATTTCTCTCCCATATTGAAACTATATAAAAAAAATGTTTGAAATTTGTTTTGCATTCATGTTATATGATTGATCAACGTTAGTTGTGTCTGTTAATGTTGTTTCTTCGGGTTGTGCTACCGTCGAAATAAAGGTAATATGTTCTATTCTCGGGTTTGGTTTCCTATAATTTTTTATGCTTATATATTGCATTCTGATTTTTTTTGTGATTGCATGCAATGTTTTGAGTTTTCACTTAGGCTTTGTTTGGGAGTTTAAAGGGAAAGGAAATGAAGGAGATTCAGGGAGAAGGGAGGGGAGGGAAAGGAAGGTAATTGAAGGGTATTTTCTTCCATTGTGCTTCGTTAAAAATTTAAAGGGAAATATTCTTCGTCGAAAATTTCGACGAATATGTTTTTTTGTCAAATATTTTGACGGAATTTAGATTCCGTAAAGAATTTTGACAGAAAAAAAATTCTGTCAAAATTCTTTACATGAATTTTTTCATTGAAAATTTTCACTGGAAATGTGTTCCGTTGAAAATTTTGATGGAGATGTTTTCCGTAAAAAAAATTGACGAAAATATTTTCGACAAATTTTTTTACGGAATTGTTTTCTGTCAAAAATTTTCGACGAAAATATTTTTTCTAGAAAAGTTTGACGGAAATATTTCTGTTGAAAGTTTCAACGAAATTTAGATTTTATCAAGAATTTTAACTGAATTTTGTTCCAAAAAAATTTATATCAGTGATTATGGCCAAAATTTGTTTCGTTTCTAATTTCGACGTAATGTAATTTTTGTCAAAAAATTTGTCACTATTTTTGACAAAATATTTTTCATCGATAAATTCTGTCAGTATTTGAGACTTTTCTAATAGTGTCACATTTAAAAATAATTCACATTTATGTAGTTTTTACATTTTAATGCTAAGGGTAGATAAGTAATTTTCAATATTTTTTCCCTCAAACCCCCCAAATTAGGGGAACTTTAATTTTAAGGGTGAGAAGGATTTTGTAAAAATCCCCAATTCTCTTCTCCCATTTTTTTAAACTTACAAACAAGGGAAGTGATTAATGAAACCCTTCCCTTCCCTTCCTTTCCCTCAAAAACCAACTCCCAAACAAAGGCTTTGTTTGGGAGTTTGGAGAGGAGGAGAGGGGAAGGAAGGAGATACAAGGGGGAGGGAGGGGAAGGAAATTGAAGGATATTCCATTCCCTTCATTGGGAGTTAAAAAAGTGGTAAAGGAGAAAAATTGAGGGTTAATGAGATATTTTTACCATTTTACCTTTTTTAAAAATTAATATAATTATTATATTTTACCAATTAAATTAAATTTAAAATTACTAACAAAATTATTTATGTACTTTTCAGAACACCAAAAAAGATCATATTTTTGATGAAATTTCTACGTTGCAAACGATGAAAATTTCATCACAAAATTATTTTTTTCGTCAGAATATTTTTCATCAAAAAGCGATGAAATTTTTCAATCGACGAAAATTTTTACAAAAATAAATTTTCTATCGAAATTTTAGACGAAATTTAGTTTCCATCAAAAGTTTTGACGAAAATGATTTCCTCTATCAAATGTTTTAAACGAAAAAAAAATTCTCTCAAAATATTGACAGAACATTTTCCGTTCAAAATTTCGATGGAAATGTGTTCTGACGAAAATTTTGAGGGATATGTTTCATTCGAAACTTTCGACAAAATTTAGATTCTGTAAAGAATTTTGACAGAATATTTTTTCGTCAAATTTTTTTGTCGAAATATTTGGACAGAAATGCGTTTCGTTGAAAATTTTGATGGAAATGTTTTTTATCAAAAAAATTGACGGAAATAATTTCCGTCGAAATTTTTTGATGAAAATGTGTTTCGTTAAAAATTTGGTTGGAATTTTTTTTTTCCAAAAAGTTTAACGAAAATGTTTCCGTCGAAAACTTTCAATGGAGTTTATATTTTGTTAAGAATTTTGATAAAAAAATTTTTTTGTCAACAATTTTCGATAAAAATGTGTTTCGTTGAAAATTTTGATGGAAAAATTTTTCGTCAAAAATTACGATGAATATATTTTACTGTGAAATATTCTGGAAAAATTTAGATTCCGTAAAGAATTTTGACAAAAAAATATTTTCGTCAAATTTTTTTACAAAAATATATTTATTCACAAATTTTGATTGAAATATTTTTCGTAAAAAAGTTTGATGTAATTGTTTTACGTCAAAACTTTCCGATGGGAATGCGTTTCGTCAAAATTTTGGACGAAAATATTTTCGTTAAAAGTTTCGACGGAATTTAGATTCTATCATTAATTTTGATTGAATTTTTTTTTTCCGTACAAAATTTATTTTAGTGATTATGGCAAAATCTGGTTCCGACTCTAATTTCATCTTTAGTTTTGACGGAAATTTTTTGACGTATATGATTTTCCTCACTATTTTTTACGAAATAGTTTTCATCAATAAATTCTGTCGGTATTTGAGACTTTTCTAATAATATCGCATTTAAAAATGATTCACAATTATGTAGTTTTAACATTTTAATGCTAAGGATAGATAAGTAATTTTCAATATTTCCCCCCTAAACCCTCCAAATTGGGGGAACTTTAATTTTAAGAAAAAGGAGAGTTTTAGAGGGTTTAGTAAAAATTCCCAAATTTTTCCTCCTTTTTTTTTTGAAAAAAAAATTCTCAAACAAGGGAAGGACTTACTAAAACCGTCTCTTTCCTTTCTTTTCCTTCCCCTCCTAAAACTAACTCCCAAACAAAGCCTAAGAGTAATACTTTTCTTATGTTGCATAAGAGAAGTATTATCTCCTATTCAAACAATAAATAAGAGAGAAAAAAATTGGAGGTAGGAGAAAAAATTCTTGTAGAACATATTTAAAAAATGTAAGTGTAGAAGATAATATTTCTCTTATATAACATAAGAAAAGTAATTCCCTTTCACTAATACCACCATAACCAACAACACATATTTTTACACTACCAACAATAACAATATTATGTAGTGTTTGGTAGAAGATTTATTTTGAGATTGATAGGAAAGTGTAAGTGAATATTGAAAAATACCACGCTTGGTTCAGGTTTTTAAAAAAATACTAGGCAAATAGGATAGATGGAGAAATGACTTTTGTGTTGATTTTTGGATGAAATTCACTGTTACAGAATACCAATTGAGATGTGGTATTTTGAGATAAATGGGGAAGTGAAAAAACAGGTGCGAAGTTTCTCCCAAACATAGATTTTGCAAATTTAAATAAATTTCCCTGGTAATATTTCGGTCAACTAAACAACTTATTTTACATTTCCTACCAAACTCACTTTCCAATTATTTTTCTAGTAATTACATTTTCCTAGTATTTAAAAAATTTCTCCTGAACCAAACGCCCCTAAAGCAATTTAGATATCTGTGTTTGTTGAATATTCATCTATATTTGAATACTGAAAATTTAAAAGTAATGCCTTTAATCTGTATCTAATTACGAAAGTTTCCGTGTTTGATTTTATTTTCATATTTAGATTGTTTCTATCCTGTATAAGTAAATTTGTGTTCATTTCTTAATTTCCGTGTTTGAATTTAAAAAAAAAATTATTGATATTATTTGTTCACGGATTTCGAAATTTGAAAACTTCTTACATATAAACTGCATGCCATTATCCTGCATATATACTATATGGAATAAATAATATTTATAAACTCAAAATTTATAAATTTTTATAAACTACACTATATATTATAGGTAGTATATACTTAAATAATTTATATTACACATAATACATAATATAATTTAAATTTTTTTATAATTTTTATAAATTTTGAATTTATAAATATAATCATTCTCGTATTATATTGGATTCGTAATTGTCGTGCCATAATGCTTTTGAATAGCATTTGAAAGTTGAATACATAGTTATGGTTTTGTTATGGATATGAATATCATATCCCAACTACCTATCAGAATATCTGGTGAGATACATAATCATCAATATCTCAATAACTCCAAACAGCCAAAGAGCACAATATAAGGATCACATCCCAACAGAAGGGGAGTTGAATCCTACTACAATTGGGGAGTCTCAAAGGGCCCAAGCCTAGGAAGGTAAGCCTATAAATAAGAGCCTAAGAACCCCAGGTAAACACTCAGAACTCATTTACTACTTCTGCCCACGCTGTGCACACACCCACCTCTTGGCTATAAGCCTATTGCTTGTGCGCAGTGATTGGGACCTCGGCTATAAGCCAAGTATACAGTTGATATACACTATCTCTGAGCGCATATCCTACGGTATAGCAATACGGTATATCCAGGACCTAACATTGGCGCCGTCCATGGGAAACGATAAATTTCGACCCCCATTCCACAATGACGAACACCCGTTCGACGTCTAGCACCGCCTAAATGCCGCCGCATCAATCTCAGCCTCAGCCTTATGGCATGCCTCAACACCAATCTGCATTGGAACAACTCCAATCGGACGCGAACCCGGTGCTGGTAGAGGTGCAGGTCGGCGAGATCGGCACTCAGGGACCAACCCCCAGAATCCAGCTCAATACAACAGCAGCCTCAGTTCACCCACCTCCACACAGTGAGCCACCGCGAGACGTAACCACGATGGCCATGAATGCAATCCTTCAAAGGTTGCAGGAGATGGAGAATAGATTCCTGACCCAACAACGACTAGATGCCCAAAGAATGGCGACATTCGAGGCCAAACTGAGAAATCGTAACGTGGAAGGCCAACCCAGAGGAACCGGTCAGGTCGCAAACGACGGACCTCGGCATGAGGATGCTGGAGGCATCCAACATCAGAATGCTGAAGACCTCCGACATCAGAATGCTGAAGGCCAACCTGGAAGAGATGGCCGTGCTGTTGATGGTGGCCCGCGACATCAGAACGCGGCCACAGCTGAAGGACACGCACAGAATGTGCAGATCCCAAACTTCGGAAATGACCGGAATGGTGGAGGCCCGAACGATAACCATGACGAGAACTACCTAGATGATGAGGAGGCTAATGATAGCCCATTCACTGAGAGGCTCATGAACCTGGCTATACCTCCGAGATTCAAGAGCACCAGGATACCTCCATATGACGGAAGTCAGGACCCAGAAGCCCATTTAGCGGGTTTCAAGACAGAAATGTTGTTCAACGGGATCACTGGACCTATTAAGGCCAGAATCTTTGCGACAACATTGACTGGTCAGGCGATGACCTGGATAACCAGGCTCCCCAGGAACTCAATCGACTCGTTTGAGGACCTAGCCCGGACTTTTCGACTGAACTTTGCAACAAGCAAGGTGCATCCAATGCTGGCCTACGCCCTGGGAAGAATTCGGCAGAAAGAGAACGAATCGCTGAGGAAGTACCTCGACCGGTTCAAGGATGCCGCCCTCAAGGTCCGAGGTTTAACTGAGGCGGTGCACCTTCACTTAATCATCTCGGGATTAGATGGTGACTCTCCACTTGCGAGATCAATCTATAAGAACCCGGTGAATGATCTGGAGGAGTTCCGATGTAGGTTGAATAAATACATTGATGTGGAAGATATGCAAAAGGTCTACGTCGAGTCTAGAGGGTGAAGTCCGACACGTCGGAGCCCGAGTAAGAAAAATAACAAAGAACGGGACCAGAAAGGATCCAAAAAAGGGAAGGATTCTCACGATAAGAGGTCAGACGATTGATCTCCAAGAAGGAAGTATGACGACTACACACCCCTGAACATGTCCAGATCCAGGATATGGAAAGAGGTGGCCCATACTGAGATGCGCAACGCCGAGAGACCTCGACCACTCAAAGCCAAGAGCGGGCTGGACAGAAACAGATACTGCGCTTTCCATGATCAAAACGGTCACATCACGGATGACTGTTGGGACCTTCGAGATGCTATTGAAAAGAACGTCAGAGAGGGGAAGTTGAAGCAATATATCATCCGAACACAGGGAAAGAAAAATAATAAGCGAAGGCTAAGAAGCCTAAGCAGAAGTCGAAGCCCGAAGAGAGAAGACAGAAAGGATCAAAGACAAGACCGACCTGCCAAAGACAAAGAGGTCGAGGATAAGGACGAGGCCTTTCCTGAAGCCGAATTCGAATGCAACGTGATAAGTGGAGCTCTAGGCGGGGAAGGAGACAGGTCGACCTTTAAAGGGAAAGCCAGCAACCCTGCCCCCCCAAGACTGTTCTTCACTCAGGAGGAACTAGCAATGGTCGTACCTGGACACACTGATGTATTGGTGATCACTGGAGTGCTAGTCAACTGCCGGGTTAAGAGAATCTTCATTGACCATGGAAGCTCGGCAGATATAATTCTTTGGGATGCTTTCCAGAGGATGAACCTGGATGAGAAGGACTTAAAACCATGTGTCACCAAGCTGGTCGGGTTCAACGGAGCGGCGTCCCCTCCAAAAGGCTACATCGACCTAAAGTTGACCTTGGACACGAAGGACTCGTTCCGAGCTGGAAGGGTTCGTTTCGTCGTGGTGGACACCTCGTCTTCATACAACGTGATCATTGGCCGGTCTACAATCCATGAATGAGATATGCTGATCTCCACTAAACATCAAGCATTGAAAATGCCTGGGATGAACAACGAGATCGTCACCATAAGAGGTGATCAAGAAGAATCAAGAAAGTGCTACTACGAGAATCCACGAGTCCATCATCTCCACCTCGGCTTAAAGAAGGAGGAGTTAAGGACCAATCACTGAAGGCATGTGGAAGCGAGGTCAACTTGGTGGAACTCGACGTGAGAGAGGAGCTCCTAGCACCTCGTCCAGAACCCCAAGGAGAACTGGAGGATGTTGATATTGCGGAGAACGGTAAAAGGGCATACCAAGCTGGGAAAAGGCCTAGATGCTGACTTCAAAGAAGAACTGGTTTCATTCTTAAAGGAAAACCGCGACGTATTTGCGTGAAAAGCCTCGGAGATCCCAGGAATAGACCCAACTTTCTGCTGCCACAAGCTATCCATGTACCCCGGATCACAGCCAGTGTCCCAAAAGAAGAGGAAGATAGGATCTGACCGACGTCAAGCCTTGAATGAGCACGTCGACGAGCTGCTAGAAGCCAGATTCATCAGGGAAATACAGTATACCACTTGGCTGTCTAACGTGGTGATGGTAAAGAAACCAAGTGGGAAATGGAGGATATGCGTGGACTACACCGACCTCAATAAGGTCTGCCCAAATGACTCATACCCCATGCCGAGCATCGACCAGCTAGTTGATAATTCGTTAGGATTTCAGCTACTGTCAATTATGGATGCGTACACCGGGTACAACCAAATTCCACTACACCCTGACGACCACGAAAAAATTGCCTTCATCTCTGATAAGGGAAATCTCTGCTACAACGTCATGCCTTTCGGTCTCAAAAATGCAGGAGCGACATATCAGCGAATGATGAATCGCTTTTTGCAAGGGCAAATTGGGAGAAACCTAGAGGTATACATCGACGACATGATTGTCAAGTCGTTGCACATATCGACACACATAGCCGACCTCAGGGAAATTTTTGAGCAACTGAGAGTTCGCAGGATCAGGCTGAACCCGACAAAATGTGCTTTTGGGGTACCAGCTGGAAAATTTCTGGGCTTCATACTTACCAACCAAGGAATAGAAGTGAACGCCGACAAATGCAGGGCCGTCCTTGAAATGAAGCAGCCCGAAAGCAAGAGAGAAATCCAACAGCTCACATGACGTCTGGCGGCCCTGACCAGATTTTTGCCTAAATCGGCAGAGAAGGCTTTGCCTTTCTTCAAGCTCCTCAAAAAGGAAGCTGAGTTCGGATGGCGAGAAGAATGCAAAAAGGCATTCGAAAATATTAAGAGTGGCCTTGCCACCCCTCCTGTACTGTCGAAACCAGAGCCGGAGAAACGTTGATTTTGTACTTATCGGTGGGGGAAGAGGCCATCAGTGCCGTCTTGGTACGGGAGACAGACAAAGCACAACAGCCAATCTACTTTGTAAGTCGAACCTTGCAAGGATCTGAGCTTCGTTATCAGAAGCTCGAAAAAGTCGCATTTGCCCTGCTTACCACCGTAAGGAGGCTCCGACCTTACTTCCAGAGTCACCGAGTCATTGTGCGAACAAATCAGCCCATCAGGCAAGTACTTCATAAGCCGGACTAGCTGGAAGAATGATCAACTGGGCTGTTGAGCTCTCTGAGTTCGACATATCATATGAGCCTCGGTAGGCGATTAAGTCTCAAGCGCTGGCCGACTTCATCTTGG